CCTGTCGACTAAACAATCATATTCTTTTCCAATCTCAATATATTTTAAAGGAAAAGGGTCAAAGTGTCGTGACACATAAGCAGTTTGGAAAGGACTAACTTATCAAATAGGTGGAGCCAAATAAAATGCAGAAGGAAATGACAGTTCTTTGTCTTTGTTATTTTATGGGCCAACTTTTAGGTTGCTTGCTCGCCTTCTGGTGGGCTTTGTACTCATTGCCTTTTCGTCTGAAGTGGCTCTGATCTAGAAGGCAGAGTCACTGAAGAAAGCATTGATTTTGACCAAGTGAGCAAACAATAATTCAGTAGAGGGATGGATCCAGTGCATAACCTGTGACAGTGGTATCCTGGGCCTGGGTCAACCTTGAACCTGGGTATGGACATAGAATGCTCATGGAATGTCTTCTGAATGATCATTTTACAGCCTACCGAATCCCAAGCTGGCAGGCATTTGCTTTTTTAGAGATGTTTTTTTTTTTTTTCCTGAGCTAAACAATCATACTTCCTTTTCCAATCTCAATATATTTTTAAAGGAAAAGGGCCAAAGTAATAAGTGACATACAAGTTTGTGGAAAGGACTAACTTATCAAATAGACAAAATAAAATGCAAGGAAATGACATTTCTTGTCTTTTGTTTATTTTTAAGGTTATACAGTGTGGGCACACAACCTCATTGCCATTGCTCGTCTTCGTGGCTCTGATCTAAAAGTACTTGAAGTCACTGAAGAAAGCATTGATTTTGACCAAGGTGAACTGGCCGACCAGGATGTGGATCCAGTGCATAACCTTATTGAGCAGGTATCCCTGGGCCTGGGTCAACCTTGGCACGCGGTCATGGACATCGAATCACTCAGTGTCTTCACTGAACCAAATCGTCATTTTTACAGAGAGATGCAAAGCTTCAGCGAAGACATTTAGCTTTTTTTAAAAATGTACAATTCCTGTGGTTACATATGCAAGTAGGGTCCTATTATGTTTTTTTTCAGTAGTGTGAATTAATCCCTTTGTGCTGTGTTTAATCAGTATTAGCTTTATAGAATTATATATGTATATTCTACTTCTTGATCAAAGAACGTAGTCGGGTATTGGTTTAGAAGTTCAAAGTGACAGTGTATAGGGCTTTCACGGTTAATGGACTTGTTATCCAACCTTAAGGATATACAACCGAAGGTTGTCTGAGGTTGCTGGCTAACTTTATTTTTCACTGAGTTACTCTGCCTTTTGATGTTTTTATTCTTTGTGTGTCAGAGTTCAGAGCTCAGGAGCCAAAATATTTTTATACATATATAGATATATATCCATAGCCTGGTGGATTTGTATGCAATGCACCGCATTCATGCATTGTGACAGCATTTCATTAATTCTTATTTGAAATGGAAGAAGGGAGGATAGTATGATCCCAAATGAGTTATCTTTAACAGAAAAGCCAAGACTTTAACTTTCATTACATATATAATAGTTGACATCACCAATTACCATTCAGAATTTTGTATAGTACTAGGTTAGAACACTGCTTAATCCTTTTTTTAAAAAAATGCATTTACCTAAATGTGAATACTCAAATTGTTAGACTTTTTAAAAACTATATCTGACATAATTTATTCATCAATTACATTATACATTCAAGTTAGCTTTTTAGCCCAGATTTCAAATAGTGGAGGAAGAAACCGTATTCCAGGGTAAAACCTCCTAAAGCAAAATCTTTAAAAAACAGAGCTGTAAACACACATGCTTGCAAACAAACATTAGTCGTGAAATCCCTAGCAACGAGTCACTGGATTTTTCTCTGTCAGCGCGCGTGTCAGCTGCCAAAGAATAGACTTAACTGAAGAAGTGCCCACATGCTGGCAGGGGCCGGCCCACTCTGGCCAGCCAGATACTGCTAGATTGTAATATTTAAGGTCGAATTTCGACCTGTGGTACACAGCTGTGCTGTGGCTCAGTCAGCAACCTCAGAACTCTGAAAAAAACAAAACAAAAAAAAGAAAAAAAAACCATGCACCTGTTTCACTGTGAATAGTGAATGTAAAGGAAAGAAAGGAAAAACTGAAAACTTGTTCTATCACAGGTATGAGCTGCTATGATACATGAAGAACATTCCATGAAGTATGTTTTAAAACCTTGTTATATCTGAGAGGCTTTAAAAGCCGATTTAACTGTTTCAGGGCAACCGCGGTACAGACGTGGTCTCTGTGAGACTTCCACCTGACCCCAGTTTTAAGTGGTACGAATGTTGTGCATTTAATGTTAAAGGACAGTCTGCAATAATAAAGTAAGTAGCCAACGTGGGTGCCCAGCAGTGCTGAGACCTGGCTGCTCTATTGTAAGCTTTGGAAACACAATTTATGCAACAGATGTCCAGATATGATTCTATTTATGGAAAAAGTTTATATGTATTTTACAAATGGTTTTACCATCTTATATTAAAATGACCTTTTGACAGGTGTGCACTGTTTTGTCTCCAGTGAGCACATACCATGAGGATTTTATATGTACATCAGTAGTGTGAATCCACTGGCACAGTGTGTGTAAATGCCAGATGTGGTGAGATTTTATCTTATAAATGTGATCGGATAAAATAAATCCTGACAGAAACTGTAAGGAAACCAGCTGAATGTTTGACCTGATGACTGATGTTGTATGGTTTATGTTAAATGTATATTCTTTTAATCAACGAATAAAGCATTAAAAAGTGATCATTGTAATATACTTTATTGTATGCAAAGCATGAAAACTTTTAGTGTTAAATAAACTGCAATAATCCTTATATTATGTATAATCATGTTAGCTCCTGTTGCTCCTATTGTAGTCGGGTACAGCAAAGCTTAAATTTGGGTATAGTTCATAAAAAGTCTTAAATAGTTTGAAGCGTCTTAATTTTGTTTTGTTTTGTTTTGTTTTACTAACTGGCAAAATACAAGCTTAAGAGCAAACAATAGGCTGGTTAGCACAAAACCCAAGTGTATTATGCATTTAGAATACATTACTGATACGGTAAAACTTAATTTATAGACTATATATAGGAACTTTTTACAGTTCCTGTACTGGATGCAAAAATACTTTAGTATGCCAGTATTAAGCAGTTCATAAGTCCCTATATTGCTTTAGTTTGGCTTTGTAATCTCTATTCTTGCTTGCTGAGACAAACAGCTGTCATTTATGAGAAAGCAAATGGCTCTCTTCCTTCATCTATCTTTCCTTACTCATTCCAGACACTGACTCTTCTCTAGGCACTCCCTCATCTTGGAATAATCTGGTGTTCACAAGCAACTGTCATTATACCTACTGCTTCCTTGTTTCCTAACCATATCTCTTTTGAGTGAATCAACATGTTTATGTATTTACAATACAAAAATAGTAACCAAAATGTATGAAAAAAATGTGTTAATATCTATGAATAGCATACAAGTGAAGGCTGGTATAGTAGAGCACTAACCTAGGCGGCAGCACGTTTTATACTCTAAGCTCTAATGCTACATGAGCAGACTCTCCCTTGAGCTTCAGTTCTGTCATCTGTAAAATTAGGGATTGAAGTTAGTTATCTAAAACTCTGATTCTTCACTAAAAGTTTTAACTGTTGTTAGCCTAGCAGCTCAGAGACATACACGATCATCTTGGAGCAAATGTATTAAATAAAATATTTTCAAAACCTAGTTTACTGAACTATATGAAATTTACATAGCTAAAATTACCTTCCCATTTCCCCCACCACCCTAGGAATAAAGAAGATAGGGAGTCGGTGGGATGGGTCTTGGTAAGGACAGTGTGCTCATAGCTGAACATACAAATTCAGAAACTAACTTGTTTGGGGCTTATGGCATGAATCAGGTGGGATCTTTATGAAGCCAGTAACATAAAGTGGTGCTAATGGAGTAACATACAAGCAAATGTGAATAACATCCAGCCATCAAACCACAATGTTTATATCAATGCTTCCCAATCTTTTTCATGTCCTGACATATACAGAATACATTGTACAGCAACTGGTATAAACTAGAAAAAACTGGAAGTGGGGGGGAGGGATCATTGTTTGATTATATAATTGATGAGAAAAAAAAATGCAGAGGATTGGGGATAAAATACTAAATTTGTATAGAACTTTCAAATAAAATGTCAAATGTTTTAAGTGGTAACCTCTTAAAACTTTTAATAGTGTCATCAATGAGAAACACCCCACAAATAGGTGATAATTTTTAAACTTTTTTTTCACAACCATTCAAAACTTTATGCAGGTAAAATTATACTTAAATCTAACAACCCTAAACATAATAATGGTAAACGTAATGTTGAGATTTCTTGTAATGTGAATTAATTTCAAATTCAAGTGATTTTTTTCACTGAGGTATTTCAAAATAATGACGAAGCTCTAATTTGTAGTCTCCCACACGTAACCCTGCAGCTAGTTTAGTGACCACTGAGAGCACACACCAGCCAGACAGAAAATAGCTGATTTATATGCAAGCAGTTAGAAACCTGCAGGGAGCCCTCCTCCCACACCTGAGCTTCCAAGCCCCTCACAGCCAACCAGCTACATCCGGGGTTTCACACCTGGGCTTCCTACCTGCTCCATGGACACTTGGGACATACTTCTCTCACAGCTTCATAGACACTCCTTGCCCTTGATGGACAAATAGAGCCTCTGCATCACACAGGCGAGTAGTGAGTACCCGAGTCCACTCTCTATCCAGGGCACACTGTCAGACCCGGCTCCACTCTAGCTGTACGCCAAGAAGAAAATGAAAGCATCAGGAGGCAACCAGCCAGGGCTCCTAGCCACCCCAGAACTCAGCCTGGAAGGGCATCACTCTCGTACAATCTACTAGGTAGCCTGGGCTGCTGGTTGTGAAAAGAAAATGGGAGGTATACTGTGAACAAATTTTCAGTTGAATCATCCTTCCTGTCTGAAAGATAACAAAATTACACAAATGAGGGCAATAAAATGCCAAGTGTTGACAAGGAAGAGGGAAACACATTTGGAACCTGAATATCCGCTTTAAAGAGCAAATTTGAGGGGTGCCTGGGTGGCTCAGTGGGTTAAGCATCTGACTTTGGCTCAGGTCATGAGCTCACAGTCTGTGAGTTCGAGCCCCACATCAGGCTCTGTGCTGACAGCTCAGAGCCTGGAGCCTGCTTCGGATTCTGTCTCTCTCTCTCCACCCCTCCCTTGCTCATGCTGTCTCTCTCTGTCTCAAAAATAAATATTTAAAATAAACTTCATATATTGAAAAAAAAAATGGAAACCAATTTGACAATAAACTTCATATATTGAAAAAAAATAAAATAAATATTTTAAAAATATTAATTAATTAATTAAGAGCAAATTCACAGTATCTTGTAAAGTTGAAGTTGCCTTTGCCCTATGACCCAGGAATATCACTTCTAGATACATTCTCTAACACCACCACCCATGGGATCAGACACAGTGCTTCTGTGGACTTACAGCCCTGGCCTGACCTTCCTTCAGCCCTCCTGACCCAGAAACTAGAAATGCTGCATGGCCCACATGCTTTGAAAGTCTCCTGCCTACACCAGCACCTGGACTCCCACTGCCTGCCCGGAGTGTGTGCACACTGGCCCTGTTGATCCCAAGGGTCACTCATGGGGCTGCCATTGTCTGGCCCACCCACTGGCCCTGAAGGCCTCCCATCTGTCACCCTAACTCCAACTACATACTGGTTGCCATTTGCCTGTTCCCCACGTGCAGCATGGACAGAGAACTTCTCTGCTGTCCCAGGGGCTGAACCACACTCTCACCAAGAAAGGCTGAACACCCCCCTACTCCAAGGTTGTCCTACCATGAGGGCCCACCCTCAGACCTAGGGGGCCATTACAGAGTTTCTTTATACTCTTTTATCATACAATATTGTATAATTCTTTATATTAAGCTTTCCCTGTTTACTGTGTGGTTTGTCTCCTGATTTCACCCAGACTGCTACATAACCATTCCAATTATCCCGCAGCTTTTTATAAAAATATAATATACCGTTGTTAATGAGTCTTTCATGGATTATTTTCTGCAACAAAAATATAGGGGCATCTGGGTGGCTCAGTCAGTTAAGCATCCAACTCTTGGTTTCAGCTCAGGTCATGATCGCACAGTTCATGGGATCGAGCCCCCAATCAGGCTCTGTGCTGACATGATGGAGCTTGCTTGGGATTCTGGCTCTGGCTCTCTCTGCCCCTCCCCTGCTCGCTCTCAATCTCTCTCAAAAATTAATAAACATTTAATACATATACATATATATATATAATTTAACATGTATAATTTTAGAAAGCTGTGCTAACTTTTTTCTCCTACATTTAGCTTTTATACATAATAAATGCATAAGTAATCAAAAATATAAGTTTAAATTGGTATAACTTATCAGAACTGTGTCTTTTCTAAGTAAGTTCTAGGTCCACCATGGGGCTTGACCTCACAACCACAAGATCAAGAGTTGCATGCTCTACCAACTGAGCCAGCCAAGCCCCCCAGAACTGTATGTCTTAATGAATGAGGCTGGAGTTTTTTGGTGGGTTTTTTTGGGCTTTTTGTTTTTTTCCAGTTCATATTCCATGGATGGATGTTACTTGCTCCTGAAATGAGTCAGGTCCAACATCAATTCCATTACCTATTTTTTCATTTTTATAAACACAAGTACTAAAACATCTTTTTCCCATAAATAAGGAGATGGGAAGACAAAGAGTTTTTGTTACAGCAGTGGCACTCATTCTTCAAAGTCCTAAAATTTTAAGACCAAAAAAACACAGTGAAATATCAAAAATTATTTTAGGCGTGCTTGGCTGGCTCAGTCAGTAAAGCATGTGACTCTTGATGTTAGTGTCATGAGTTCAAGCCCCGCATTGGGCACAAAGCTTACCTTAAAAAAATTGGGAGTGCCTGGGTGGCTTAGTCAGTTAAGTATCCAACTTAGGCTCAGGTCACGATCCCACAGTTTGTGAGTTTGAGCCCT